TATTTATGTTGTCGACCGGATAACATTTCATGCTCTAATTTGAACTGAATCAAACCGTACTCCCTACTCATACTTTAAGGTGTGATATGCTTAGATTGTAACCACATACTACCTCAACACATAGCATATGAAAAGAAAATGTTAGGGCGATTACATTTTTATGGCAAATGATGCATACATGTGTTGACCCTAAAAACTACGAAGTCTACTTGGCACGTAGACCGAGTAATTAAAAAGCCAACTACGTCATTCGGTTGTGTACGAGGCGTGCCAACTCGTCGGTCGAGTTCGGCTGGTGAGTAAAACGAGTTGATGTTGCGTTGGGTGCTTTGTTGACTTAAGAATCTCACGACTGCGGCCAAGAAATGAACACGTTTCGGCCTTTGGGTTCTAGAGCCTGAAGACAAGGCTGCTAGTTATGCGAAGTTCAATATTAAATTCGGCTCTCAGGGTGCCGAATGTAGTAACCTGGTAACACCTCACTTCGCCTAGAAGGCTGATGAGGTGACCTCTGCCAATAAGGACTCGAAAATCCTTCTTGACCGAGACTTGGATAGGTAACCAATCGGTCTCGAAGCAGTGTTGTTTATCCAAACTGAAGATGTTTCGCGGTCGAATGGTTCTAAGGCTACAATGTTGTTTATCCAAACTGAAGATGTTCACCGGTTGCCTTCACAATGTTGTTTATCCAAACTGAAGATATGTTTGCGAAAAAGGAAAATAAAAATCTCAAGGTTGTTAAGAGGTTTCGCGTAGAGCAAGAGTTTGCGCATGGCAGTTTGTGTGTGGAATTGGAGAGGCTCTGAATGATGCAGAATGCCATGTATTTATAGAAAACTTGCTTGATGTGTCGTACTATCGTAGGATCTGACTCGTGGAATACTATCTTGATGTCAGACATGAAGCACTGACCTTCTCCCGTACGTTGTTAATATGCATGTATTTGAAATTATCCTTGAGATAATTCTCATGTACAGGTGCATTTAATCTTCCACGTGGAAGCCATCGAATGCTCCCTTATTGTTTGTCTCATCAGTGCAAACCCATTGCAACAAAAAATGTAATCATTATCTTCCATCACCTTGCCACTTACCAAAAATGTAATAATTATCCTCCATCACATTTATATCCGTGCATGCATTCTTTGTTATCTGATTAGTCTTTGAACTTGATAATCATCCAGCCATACTTTGATTCCATTCATGATAGTCATGCTATCTTTCTAAGAAATTGCAGCAGTATTAAACCACATGGCATTGCATCAAATCACCACAACTTTATTACCCAACCGTGTTCTAGATAATTTAATATATTATTAAGAGATAATTAATTATTATGATAAAAAGCATAATATTATTTCTCAATAATAATTGAAAATCATTTCAACCACTTTATCGTTCAACGGTATAAAATTTTGCTCATTCAACGGTCTTGATTACTCGAACCAATGATGTAAAATCAGGTCCAAACAACATGTCACATTAATTATGAAATCTATCATATTAGATGTTAATAGTATGCATTACTTGTTATATGAGATGATGCACTATTGATACTAATGTGGTTTAAAATTGGGAGGTGGGTTGTCTCCCCTCCTATTTCCATACTCTCCCCATGTTCTCCTGTAATGTGTGGTCACGGTTAAGTTACGTCAACATTTTATATTAGTTTTTTTATAGAAATAATAAAATAAAAAGTAATAGAAATATAAAATATTGACGTGGCTTAACCGTGATCATACAAACAAAAAAAAATTCAGAAACTATAAAAATGGGAGGGTAGACAATCCACCTTTTTAAAATTGTTGTTTGGCTAACATTACTCTAGATAAATATAAAAGCTTGAGTTTAAGTGGGTCCCAGTACGGCGGTGATGGACGACCAGGACTGAGTTGATCTCCAATAAAGTAAACAAATGTGGATTTTTGTGTTGGTGAGCTGTTGACACGTGTAATATAAGTGGACGTTGGTTTGTGATCGAACCAGTTGAGATGTCAAAAAGGATTAGAACGAGTGAATACACGTCAGACCAAGTCAAGCCCTTCGCGAAACGAAAGGCCATTTATTCTTTTCTTGAAGGTTTCGTAATCGTGATCATTAAGGTCAAAAATCATACGATATATGAAGAAAGGTTATGATCACAGGATCTCTGAGATTCTTATAGGATCATTTTCCATTTATTCTAAACAGAAATGAATTCTATCTGGATTTAAACTATGAGGATTTTAAAAATTCTCACATCTTAATTATTTATCATGTATCGTGCGATAAAAACTTATTTAAAATTAAACATAAATAGTACATGATAAAAACTAATCGAACATATACGATGAATAGTTATAACGTGAGAATCTCTAAGATAATCGCAAACTGGATCCTTTTCCATTCTAAACGACCTCAGTCAAGTCGGTCTATGCCTTCCACGTCAGACGAAAAAGATCAATTTATCCATATAGTCTTTGGATAATTACGAAATTAAAAAATGGAAAAGCTTCCAAATTGGCAGGGGTAAATATGGAAGTGTAGTTATTTTGCTAGCAAAAAATGGGATGTTCCCCACGCGCATGGCTGACTTGGACATTTCAGTCAACTAAAGCCATGACATAAAAAGGAGCAATGTTTTCGCTTAGTATTACGGTCTAATGATATTTTTCTTCATTTATAAGTAAGAGGTTTTATGTCGGACTCCCGCACCCCTTTAATATAGATAAAATCATTTATTCCAACAAAAATATTATTTTCTTTTTCTTTTTCTTTTTTTTATTTTATTTGTCGTGTTTTTTAGACAAATCGATAGTGTAGTCTCCAAACTATAGTTTACTTTTTCAAAACAATTTGTTCGATGTTATACCATACCTTCATTACAAGAAACCTAACAATTGAAGAACGAAGATGAATCAAACCAATAACGTGATGCAAAGAAAAAAATTATTATTGAAAATAATGGTAGATAATAGTTTCAATATTTAAAATTTCCTCGATAGGGTCGATGTTTCCATAGAAACAACAGAAAAATTAGAAAAATATATAGAAAAGGGACTTTACCCCATGTCGAATAAACTCTTAAACTTCGGCTGATAGATTTTGTTGATATTTTCAACATATCTGTTAAATATCAACAGATTGCCGTATGAAATTCTCTCAAGTTTCATTTTCAATTCCACATTTTAAAGCAAATTTTCATCATTTCCATTGAAGAGAACCAATATCGATACAAATATATCTATCGATATTTCCACAAATTTACATATCAATATTTCGACCAATACCAATATTTTAAACACTAATGATATTGAAACTTAAAGTTTGGTCTTTACCGAAACGGAATTTAAATTAGAGATTAAAAAAAAAAAAGAGATGAACAACACTCATTTATAAATCACAAAGCATCATGATAAATGGACTCACACACACATAACAACTTCAGTTTGAAATACCCATTGCTATTTTTTTAGAGGCATTTGATATTCAATGTGTTCAAATCTCATGATCGATTGTCGTTGGATCAAACAATATCTAAGGGCTAGTTTGGTATTGATGTGTTTAAAAATAAAAAGTGTTTTTGCTGTGTTGTGAGAATAAACAGATGTAAAATAAAATTGTTAAGTGTTTTGGTAAACCTTTTTTTGTAAAAGTGTTTTTAATAAAAAAAAAGGAAGCATTGTCTGAGTGTTTGATAAATTTTTATATAAATTACTTTGAATACGTTAAATGACTAATATATATATATATATAATGTGATATAATAATTGTCAAATACAATAATTTAGGGATAAGGATTGTAATTTTGTAAAACATGTGGGGTATACTTCCTATTTGAAAATTTCATTAAATGAGCATTGATTATTATGCTTTGAAAAAAAAAGCACTTTTTTAGAAGCATGATAGACTTTGCTTCTGCTTTTTTACTTTTATTGACAGCAGTTTTTTAAAAAAACATTTTTTTTGTTTTACCAAACATATTTAATGTTCCAAATTTTTTAGTAAGCTGTTTTTTTTAAAGCACCACAATCCCAAACCAACCCTAATGAGTTTTAACAGGTCCTTTAAGGGAAGAGATTTTCATTTTATTTTTAAAAAATGGAGATTAGTTGTGAGACTCACTTCACATTGAACTTCAACAATTCAAACCGTTCATTTTGTAAGTCTCGGTTCATAGATCATCATTGTAAAAATTCAATTCAATCCGAAAACATTTGTTTATTTAACTATTACGACAAAATCTCAATGTTTTTCTTAGAACAAAGTGTTCGTCAATTTCTTTGAACTCAATTGGATGCCTCAAATATTTTCGATTTGGATAATATTTAACAATTATGATCTATGATGTGCAACTTGAAAAATAGACAATTCAAATCGTTATAATTTAATGTGACATGTGCTTCACAACTAATTTTCATTTTTATAAAAAAAAAATGAGGGATCTTTTTACTTAGAAGCCTCCATAGTATTTTTTTTTTTAACAAACGATAATATCTACACAAAGAGGATGGGGAAGTGAGCTAAGTCTTACAATGGTCTTGCCATAATAATGTGTTTCAACTTTGCCTTTAGCAACAATCGAACCTAAGACCTTTCACTTACAAGTGAGGAGTAATACTACTAGACCGTAGTACTAAATTGCAAAAGTCTTCTTGGTTTGAATGACAATAATAGAAGATGTGTTGTCATTTAGTACTATAATTTAGTGGTAGTCATCTTTACTGGTAAGTAAGAGGTTTTATGTTCAATTATCACAAAAAGTCAAATTTAAACCATATTATTACTAGTCTATTGTGAGACTTACCTCACTTTTCTACCTTCTCAATGTAGATAATATGTTTTATTCGAAAGATAATATGCTGATATGTTATGCGTGTGAGTGATAAGCACTTTTTGCCCAACTTATAACTTATCTTGTGACAGTGAAAAATGCAGCTATTAGAAAGCGCGTGTCACGTTTGTCGATGTTTCTAATATTTAATTTTGATGTTCCAATTCCACTCCCATCTTTCTTTCTCTATAAAGTCAGGCCGACCATCAAACCTCTTCATCCACCCTCATACAAACAAAGCAGCCGGACTCGCAAAAAGCAGACTCCTTCTTTACTCATAGTCTCTCTCTCTCTCTCAATGGAAGCTAATCCGACCGCAACCTCCGGCACCTCCGTCGACCTGTACGGTCTCTCCGGCACCAAATATCTCCCCGAACCCGACGTCGACATCCTCACCTGCGACGCCATCCGCATCCCGGTGCACTCTTGCATCCTGGTACGCTATTTCACCAAACATGCGCCGCCTTTCCTCCTCACTCCTCAAGCAATTTTACTTCTATTTTGGAAAAATCTGATTTATGTTTGTGTTTTGATTTCAATAATTTTGAAGGCCTCAGTGTCGCCGGTGCTGGAGAACATAATCGACCGGCCTCGTAAGCACCGGAGCTCGGAGCGGGTCATTCCGATTCTCGGCGTTCCGTACGACGCCGTATTGGCCTTCGTCCGCTTTCTCTACTCCTCCAGGTTCGCCGCCGTTTTCCTTTTACGCTTTGCTAAATCAACGCGATTTTCTAACAGTCATCGCTGCCTACCGTTTAAATTACACCTGGCAGATCTTGATTAAATGCTTCGAGATAATTAATGGAGGCAGATTATCTGCGTTACTGTTTCTCTTATTTTATATTAATTCACGTCAATATTTTATATTAATTTTTTATAAAGATAATAAGATAAAAAATAATAAAAATATAAAATATTAACGTGACTTAACTGTGACCGCACAAATAGAAAAAAATGGAAATAACATCTAAACAAGAGGCCTGTCTTCATAATTAATTCCCTTTAAATTACACCTGGCATGTTTGAACTGACGAAAGTGCCCCTGGTGCAGGTGCACAGAAGAGAACATGGAGAAGTACGGGATCCATCTGCTGGCGCTGTCCCACGTGTACTTGGTCCCGCAGCTGAAGAACAGATGCACGAAGGAGCTTGGTCAACGTTTGACCATCGAAAACGTGGTGGACGTGCTGCAACTGGCGAAGATGTGCGATGCAGCGGATCTCTACCTCAAATGCATGAAGTTGGTCGCTAATCACTTCAAGGTTGTTGAGACAACTGAAGGATGGAAATTCTTGCAAGCTCACGACCCTTGGCTCGAACTCCACATCATGCAATTCATCGACGAAATTGAATCGGTACGCTACCTTCATATTTCTTCGTTTCGTTTCGTAAAAGACAAGAAAAATTAGTATAATATTTCTCATATATCTCGTTTAGAATGACTTTTAAAATAGCTGAAAATGTTTTTGTAACGATTTCTTAGTAAAATGGCAAATGAATCAAGAAAAAACACATTTTTTAGATGCACAAAGCACTTCAAGTACTTTTGGAACTCAAAATCATTTTCGTGTAAAGGGTCCTCGTTCATTTTAGAAATGGTTTCAAATTGATCAATTATTGTCAATTGCTGATGCATATAAAACTAACGTAACTATTGATAATCAGTTTAATTAACATTGTCATTGTAGAAATTTATCATTTGTGTTAATTGTTTAAACCCAATTTGTTATTGTATTAATCAAAGTTAATATTGTGATTAAGCAGAGGAAGAAGAGGACAAGGAGGCATAGAGAGGAGCAGAGGTTGTATCTCCAGCTGAGTGAGGCAATGGAGTGCTTGGAGCACATATGCAAGGAAGGTTGCACTAGTGTTGGGCCCTACGACATGGAGCCAGGTTACAAGAAGGGCCCATGCAGCAAGTTCTCCACGTGTCAAGGCCTCCAGATGTTGATCCAGCACTTTGCCACGTGTAAGAGGAGGGTGAATGGAGGGTGCTTACGTTGCAAGCGCATGTGGCAGCTTCTTAAGCTTCACTCTTCAATGTGCGAAGAACCTGATTCTTGCAGAGTCCCTCTTTGCAGGTAAACATATATTTAAAAGCCATGATTAAATTCTAATCTTAGTTAGTCATTCTAATGGTAGCTTAAGGAATCCTAATAGTAGGTTAATGAATAATTAAGAGAAAAAGTAGTTGTTGGTAGGATGCCAAAAGATTGTATCAGCTAAAGTAATTGGTTTTCTTTAATTTGCAATTAGAAACTCTCACTTTAGTTGGCCATTTCTGGTTTGGAATCTCATAAAATGTAGGACGGTGAAAGAATAGACTAGCCTATGCATCATTGAAACCTACTTCCAACGAGGCATCTTTGGAAGGGGTGGTGGAACCCAACTGATCATGCCAACCAGACCGAAATCCTCTTCAGATCTCATTGTCCGGAGCCTAAGGACAGACAATCCTTACCACTCAAATTGAATACAACACAAACCAAGGGCCAGATTTCCTAGTCCTTAGGCTTTGATCCGGAGAAAATCCAAATTCGTGCCAACCCATCCTAGCACCAATTTAATTTTGGTCCGGCATCCCGGTTTGTTAGGGTTATATAGCGAGTAATGGTATCTTGACATACGGTGAATATGAATAGTACTTTCATACAAAATATAAATTGAATTGATAAATTGTAGAGATTTAGAATCTAGGATCTTATGTTGCTAGACAATTTGATAAGAGAACATTTCTTCTTATCTGAGCTTGTTTGTTGGCCGGCCTTTAATAGTTTAGGTATGCACGTGAGTCATGTACTAGAACGACAGCTTGTGCATATCATTGTTTATTAAGGATGAAGGACAGAAGCTGGCTAATAAAACCAAATAAAATAGATTCCATCACGTATGGGATGGGACAAACGAAGGTAAACATGTTCCACGACCCTTCCATCCAATCAATTGTCTTAATTTTAGTGCATAAAATATAGAAGGTGAAAGCATTCCATCGGCCGACGTAGATTAAGTCAGTTAAATCTACGTCGGTTAAGCAGAATAGCGTGCTCGCCTCGTTGCACACAAGTTCGAGTTCTTCCCGTAGTTAAATGTTAGAATATGTGTCCTCTTCTAATAAAGAAGAGGTCTTTCATCCCAATCCTAATTCCTAACTCTTACAACTTGCAAATTAAAAAAAAAAAAAGGGTTTTGATTTTATTCAACTTGTCACTCCTACGGTCCTACCTGCATAAAATATCATGGATGGTGTGTATCTAACCATTTAGCAACTAGCATTGATATTGGTTAACACGATGTCGTTTTCGGAATGTGACAGGCAATTCAAGTTGAAAATGCAGCAAGAGAAGAAGACGGACGATGCCAGGTGGAAACTGCTTGTGAAGAAGGTGATGTCGGCCAAAACCTTATCTTCCCTGTCTCTGCCAAAGAGGAAGAGGGAGGAAGAATTAGGAGAAGGAAGAAGCACTTCTACTATTACTGCTCATGGAATTAGAAGCTTCAGATTGTGATTAATTAGTCGTTAATTAATTATTATATTTAAGTTGGTAGAAAATGGGGTTTAACATTTATTTATTATGTTTAGTTACCAATATTGGGGAAGTATTATCATGTCCAATTTGGTTCCATCATTTATATGTAGTAATTTTTTTGACAATAAATTTCCACTTGTTTTGGTTACATTTATCTCATCTTTAATATTATGATAAATTCGTAAATTCGTAATTTTATGTGTCGAAAACTAATGAAAATAATTTAAAAAATTTGAGTTTTAATGATAAGGATAAAATGAAGAGTAAAGTGAATAGTACCATGATTAATTTTTTAGTGTAAAAATGTGGTTTCGTTAAAATGAGCAGTACCGAGAGCTTTTCGTTAAAGTTTCATTTTTATTATGGGAGTGTTAGTAAGATATAAATTAGTGTATTTTACTATTTTTTAACAATTTAAGTTTTTAAGGCTTATTGGTTGTCTACGTGATATCAAAGCTTTGATTTCGTCTGCCTCTTCACATGCATGATACGTCAACACGTTATTAGAGCTTACAACTTAAGTTGCAGGGTTTGGGGCATGTTTACTGCTTATAAATAATTAGACTAATCTTCATAGTCCATATTGCCAATTACTTTTATGTTTAAATCTCAACGAGTAATTGACTGTATAGAAAACTATATCTCTCGCCCATCACACGAAATATAAGCGAGATAATACATAATTACATGAAATTGAAAGTTAAAAAAAGTCTTCAAAATTAACAAGAGAAAAATATGAATTTTTTAAAAAGAAAACTGATTAGTGTACGCTTCAATCCTCATGATATGAATGTTTTAATTGTTACATCGTCTTGTGACTTCGAATATAAGAAATCAAACATTTTCCACATTTCCATGTTTTAGAGTATGGGCCTGTAAAAGATATTTAGTTAGTCTATGTATATTTTAGTTTACGTGCACGTCATTTTATCTTCCATTTTGATGACATGTACAAGTGGTTATTGAATTGATTACCACCTTAAAGGCGTGCATTAACAACCACGACAAGTCAATACTTGTAAACTGTGAATCTATTTAATCGTGACCACATATAAGGTGTAATTCTCAACTAGTCTCCTCTAGACCCAGAAAGAGTGAATAATTGTGGTTCCCACCAAGTGTCCCTCTTTTGAAAGAAAAAAAAAAACATGCATTAACATATCCTGATGTGGAACCCTCAACCACATGTCATCCAATGGTAGGATTCTTAATCTCATCCCATTCCATCCCCTTCTCTCACATATTATTTTTTGTCTTATTGTCTCTATAAAAAAAATCAATATAAAATGTTGAGGTGATTAGGAGAGGAGTTAATTTTCCTCCTAATAAAAATTATTGAAGAAAATGGACATTTTTAGCTCTTTTAACAATGGAATAGCAAATATGATTCAAAGTTGGGAGTTTTAAAACTGACGGCAACTGCTTACAGTTTCCTATACTCTTGCCCTTTTACCCGGAAAAGGATCCTCGCCGTATCCTCTTTGTGGGGATCCGGAGGATTAATTAATCACGTCCGTTCATCGTACATCGTGCGGTCAGTCATTTAAAATTTAAAATTGAATATAAAGAGTATCTAACGAAAACCACTGTTATAAAAATCTCCGCCTAGGCGCTGGGTCACTACCCCGATTAGTTTCTAAGCATTTGAAAATTAAGAAAATGCACCTAGACCCACCTAGGCACATGCCTAGCCCGCCTAAATCCGTATAGGCACTCGCGTAGGCTGCGACTCTCACTTAGACATAAAATCGATAACTTTCATTTTGCATTTTAATTTTTCAATAAAATGTAAGAAACTTGTTGAATACTTGGATGAACACTCATTATATGTTTGTTCTCCATGTTTTCAATATGTTCTAATACTTTATAATTTATATCTCATTTTATGTTGCAATTTATGTATCTCAATACAATTATGTGTATTTTTAAAGTATAAATCAGCACTTATTTATACAATATATAATAAATTTACTTAAATTTGCCTAGTCCGCCTAGGCGCTAGGCACCAGCCGGCCGCCCGACTAGCGCCTAACGTTTTTTAGAACCTTGACGAAAACTAACCGCACGATGTACAATGAACGGACGTGATTGATTAATCCCCCGGATCTCTACAAAGAGGATCCGGAGAGGATACTGTTCCCTTTTGCCCAACGTGGTTTCTTTTTTTCTTTTTTCTTTTTTTATATATTTTTGTGAGATATTAGTCTCGCTCCTAAATGAAGGACGAGTGGAGTTGGTTGCGTGATATGTAGATTACGATTTTAATCTTATTATATCTGTATATTACGATTATAACCATATTATATTGGGATTGTTTTGTGTTTTGTTTTTGCAAAGTGAGGGCATTTTTAACATTTTGGAATTTCACCATTGTGGTGTACTTCCTTTATATTAGGTCTTCATTTGAAACTTTGAGTTGAGAGGTCTTCATTTGACTAATTATTTTACTTATTGTCCACCTACCTTGAACACACATTTAAAAATGTGTAATAAAAAAAGATTAATACACAGCTTGAAAATATCAATATTTTGATCCCTTGAATCTTTGAATGCATACGTTACTTCTAGATTAATTGAGGGTCCTAATATTACAAATTAAATTAAAACATAATTAATAAAAAAATAAAGGGACATTGTTGAAAAGGTAAAAACTGCGATTTTTTTTTGTCAAAATTAAGATTTGTATACTACGTATAAATCTTGTAACGAATACAATAATTCATGACGTAACATGCCATGTTCACATGTTCCATTGTTTTGGAAACCTTAGTGGTAAAATGCGAAATGCAAAGTTGGATTAACAAAGAAATACTTCGTGGTGGCCTTTTATTGATTCTCTCCTACTCCGATCTCACTAGTCCAATGCATTGATCTATCTCATCTCATGTCGAGATTTTTGTGTGTAATCAATGTTACATCTTATTCTCAATAGTACATCTTCAGCGTAGTTGTATAGACAACACTTATGCTTAATAGTACTTCTGCCATAAATACTTTCATTAGAAGCACAACGAACAATTATTAACTATTTAAGTGCTCCGAGGAAGCATATTACTATTTAATTTATTTTATTAAAAGTATTATTACTATTTTAATTTATATTAGAAAGAGGAATTTAATTGAATCGTTGTATGTTGCAAAGAAAGATTTTAATAATTACCAAAACAACTCACAACTTGCTTCTGAAAAATAAACAACTTAAAAATACTTTACTACTTTAAACAATGAATCTTCTAGTGGCCTCTGTCCCTGGTTCGAAACTTTAGAGTCCATTTTTTATGATATTCAAAACCACTCTCAAGACATTTTTTTTTATCAGTAAAAATAAGGTACGACCCGTCGGACACAAACTGTTTATGTGTGATCATAACGATGTTTATATTGTTCAAGGAGTTTGTAATATAAGACACTGTCCACACCAACCATCATTCAGATCCATCAACTAAGTTGATTTCTAATATTATTGAAAAAACATTTTTTGCCTCGAACGCTTAAAGTGGAGACTCTGAAATTTGAAAGGCTTGTTAAGATTAGGAATGAAGTTGTTTTCAGAATCCATGACAGATTGGTGAAGTCTTAAAATTATTATAAACCGAAAAATTAAAGGACGATGTTACCCAAAAAATGTAGAAGCCTTGAGCGATAAATGATTCATGGGATGTCCCGAAAACAAGTCATTCTCTTTATCACGTTTATTGTCCTCAAGATAAGACAGCCCAAAAACCTTGATTTTCTGGTTAGGTTCTTCCCCGCGCAATTGGAGAACCTTCGAACTCACACTCTTTCGATGTGTTGCTCTGAAACACCTAATTTCAGAAACACAACCAGATTTGGAGTTTTAATTGCTAGTGTAAAACCCCATTACCCAAAACCAATATTTAGTCACAAATTAAAAGAAACGTCGAGGAATCGAAGACTAAAAGCTGGAGAAAATCTGCCCTTCCACACAGACACAGTGCCATCTTTCCCAATCTCCTTATCTTGGTGTGGAAGCTAAACTTGTGGCCAGAAGAAGGCTGAAAAGTCTTTGTGAGTCTTTCCGGCTCCTGAAACGAATGGATAACCATGGCTTTTTGTGATTAAAAAGAAAAAAAAAAACATCCTACGAAAGTTTAAACGGTGGGAGGTTTTTGTCCAAAGTGTACTTCAATTGGTTTGAGATGGTCCGAGGAACTATGTTTGAAGTTCCACTAATATGTTTTAAGCTAATTTAGGAGTTGTTAAAACGTTCGCTTCCTAGGAGGACTTTGTGTCATAGGTTTCGTTACCTTGCGGCTGTTCAACTTGTCCTGCCTCACCCTACGACTCGGACTGACACAGGTACAATGTGCTCACTGAAATGGATTATGTTTCAAGAATTATGTGTAAAGTAGAATCGGAAATTCACAACTTTCAGAATTAGTAAAAGCATTTCAATTGTCATCCAAATTTTGTGATCGCCCGTGCAATCAATAGTAATGAAATTTTTATGTAAAAGACATTGATACAATTAAAAGTGGAACTATTTGACATAAATTGTGATTCTTAACGATAATGCAATCTCCCTTGGAGGACTTGTTTATGTCATAGGTTTCAATACCTTGAGGCTGTTCAACATGTCCTGCCTCTCCAATTCATCTCCCTAATTTTTGGAAAATTTTGGATAAAGTCGAATCGGAAATTCATAGTTTTCTGAATTCGTAGAAACATTTCAAAAGTCGTCTAAAATTTTCGGACATTTGGCTTGGAATATGGAATTTTTTGGATTCAAAAATTTCAGTCAAAAGCGGATTTCACTATCAAACTCACACCCTTACTACAATTAGAAAAATGACACACACACACACACACACACATTTCTTTTAGCTTCTCATACTCATTGTTAATCAATTTTTTGTTTCTATTTGATTTACACCCTTACTACAATTAGAAAAATGACACACACACACACACACACACACATTTCTTTTAGCTTCTCATACTCATTGTTAATCAATTTTTTGTTTCTATTTGATTTACATAATTTGAGAGTTATGAATAAAGAGAGGTAAACGCTTAGCGCTCGTTTGAAAGTGCTTTTAAAATAGTTAAAAATTGTTTTGATCAAAGTGCTTTTGGAATCAATCATTACTAAATAATCATTTGGAAGTACTTTTAAATGACTGAAAGTGCTTTCAGAGAAATATTTTTAGGTTTCAAACCAGTTATGTGCTTTGTTCAGGAAGAGTTTCATGTCTTTTTCTACACATATTGTCCAATATCATAATGAATAGGGTGTTAGGTTTCTACCTATGTGTCTCAGATTCGAAACTCACTCTCCTAAATTATTATAATAGTTTCAAACTTTTCCCTCCCCTAAGACCTACTCCAACCCTTGAAGTAAAACTCAAATTTTAGGTTCTATACTTACCCTAACTTGCTCTAAATCTTGGGGCAAATATAAGTTTTAACCCAAAACTCATTTTTGGGACAAATTTAGCCCAAGATTTCTCATGGGTTAGTGGAGTTGGCCCACTATATATGTGTATTTTTTTTAGTTTTATTTATTCATTAAATCAAACGGTTAAAATCTAACATGATGAAATCTAACGGTAAAAAAAGAAGATCCAATTGTCTAAATTTAAATTCAACGGCTAAAGTAATTAAAAAATATATTATTTTATGTGTTTCATATTCTGTCATAGTGTTTCACGAGTTTCATGGTGTCGGTTTAGAGATTTTTCAATATTTATCGAAATCTAAATATTTTTGGGTTAAAATGTTCATAAAATTAAATTAACACAGTCAACATAATTTTTTTTTAAAGTTACCTTAAGAAAAAAAATGATCCTAAATTCATTTTTTAAAACTTCCGGGCTAAAAACTTAACCAGAAGGGTTGGAGGAAAAAAAAAATCTGTTTTTGGGTTAAAACCCAAATTTCTATGGGTTAAAATTTTTAACTTTAACCCAAGGATTGAAGATGGTTTAATAATAATAAAACTTGAAAAAAAAATGTTTTTTAGGATTTATTTGCGTTTTTACGAAGAATTGATTTAAAAAACAATCCACAAAAAACACTTCAATCATTTTTAAAAATCTTTCAAATGAGTCATGAAACTTTCAAGTGAATCCAAAAGTGTTTCCAACTATTTTAAATACACTTCCAAACGAATCCTAAAATATGCGTAAAAATCACCTCCTTTAAAACTAGGGGTGTGCTATCCACACACCCCTTTTTACTTCTCACACATCTGTCCGTTGATCTTTTTTAATTCATCCGATCCGAATGCCGAAAATTAAAAAGGTGTGGGAGAAGTAAAAAGGATGTCTGGATATCACACCTCTAAAACTAATGTTAATTAGTCAAGAACGACGCCGTTTTATTGATAGTCTCCTTTCGTCCGTCGTACTCCCGACTCTACGCTGGCTCGATCTCTTGGCAGCAACCCCCGGTTTTTTCATACTCTCAGTCGGAATCGAATTCCATCGTCTCAGACTTCCCCAAACGCCCTGATTCCGAACGGACCAATTCCAAAGGGATCCGAATTCCCTGTTTTTGGGCGTTGCTAAAACCGGCCGCCGCCGCAACTTTCAACGCTATTCCGGAATTACCCCTGCGCCTTCGAAGAAGACCATGATTTCTTCCCCTTATTGAATCCCTAACGATTTCTCCGGCACAATCCTCGATTTCGATCGCAATGTAAGTACGGCGTCGTTTCCGGAATCGTGAATTTTCTCTTCGGGAAATTTTCTCGGCTGCCAAACAGAGGCGATCGTACACTGCAGAGGTGTTTGTGTTTTGCTGAAGTCTGTTTCTTTGTGCAGGTCGCAGGAGGAGATTGCGACGGAAGCGATAAAGCACGCTCTGAAGGCTCTGCGGAGGCGGCATTTGGTGGAAGAAGGTGCTCATGCTCCAGCTATCATCGCTCTTTCGAAGCCAATTCTTCATCAGGTAGTCTCTTAGTCTCTAACAAGCTGCGATTTATGGTTCTGATTTTTGGGAAATTTTGTTTGAATTTGAAATATTTGATCCCCGAGTTCGCTAGCAGAAGAATTTTCGGTTGATTGAAGTAATTGATGTAATTACTATTTTGGTGAAGAATTTGATGCTTCGTTAACTTGTTGTGGCGTTTAGTTTGCGAGTTATCAGTTTCTTGTGTGATTGGAATGGTTTATAGTTGTAGCTTCCTTTGGGTTTGAATTGTTTAGAACTTAGAGATTGAGTTACTTTTTGGTTGTCTTTTAAGGGCTCAGAATGGAAGGAGAAAGCGGAGAATCTGGAAATGGAACTGCAGCAGTGTTACAAAGCTCAATCGCGGTTGTCCGAGCAACTCGTGGTGGAAGTAGCAGAGTCCAGAGCTTCAAAAGCTTCACTTCAAGAGAAAGAAGCGGCAGTGGCTGATCTTCAGAAGGAGTTAACTGAAAAAAGGTTGAAGTTTTTTTTACTAGTAATGGAAAAGCAGACGCTTTTTGAGATTTCAAGGTTCTTGATGACTGATTTCAATGAGTACATGTTGTAGGGATGAATGCTCTCAGTTAGCGGCTGACTTGGAAGAGAAGATTAAAGCTTTAGAATTGGTTGTGAATGAGAACAAGGAAATAAGAGCACAGCTAGAAGCAATGTCTATTAGAGCTAGGAATGCTGAGACTGAAAGTAAGGTGTTAATTGACCGCTGGATGTTGGAAAAGATGAAGGATGCAGAACGCCTTAACGAGGTACTTTATATGTTCTATAATCAAACTTAAATATTGTGGTTCTCTCATTTAGTTTAGTCGGTAGTTCTAGATGTTAATGGGTTTAAGGTGTGATGCGAGACATAGCGCGTTTTCTAGTTGTTAATGGATTTAAGGTTTGCCACTTTCACAAGTGTTTGGTAAATGTTAGAAAAACCTAAATGGAAACAATGCTATATATTAATTTGGATCTCTTTTGACATGCCACATGGGATTTTCCGTTTTCTTTCTTGCACTTAAACTATTATTTAACTTGGACATAAAACATTAGAAAGTATATGGGATACCCGGATAAGATTTGAAATCTCATTTAAGTGGTTGCAAGGACTGCCTTGTTCTCCAGTATATAATAGCATTGAATTTCTTCATTTATTGAAAGAAATATTTCTTTTGTACATTTCTTACCGATTGTACATATGGGGTATATGTTTTAACCTGTGTGTTCTTTATTTAATTTAGGCAAATGCACTATATGAAGATATGATTGAGCGGCTTAGGGCCAGCGGTTTGGAAAAACTTGCTAGGCAGCAGGTAGATGGTGTTGTCCGCCAAAGTGAAGAAGGTGCTGAGTACTATGTGGAGTCAACCATTCCCTCTGCATGCAAGAATAGGATCCCTGCCCATGAAGGAGGTTGTGCATCCATATTATTTGAGTACAATTCTGGCAGATTGATTACTGGTGGACAGGATGGGTCCATTAAAATGTGGGATACAAATAATGGGTCACTAACTCATACACTTCACGGTTGCATTGGTTCTGTTCTGGACCTGACGATTACCCATGACAATAAATCTATCATTGCAGCAAGCAGCTCAAACAAATTGTATGCCTGGGATGTTAGCTCAGGGAGGGTTCGCCACACTCTCACTGGTCACATGGATAAAGTGTGTGCAGTAGATGTCAGCAAATTCTCAAGTCGTCATGTTGTGAGTGCAGCTTATGATCGTACCATAAAAGTTTGGGATTTGCAGAAAGGTTACTGCACCAATACAATCATGTACCCGAAAAATTGCAATGCTTTGTCATTCAGCATGGATGGACAGACCATATGTTCAGGCCATGTTGATGGAAATCTTCGTTTGTGGGATATTGAGAAAGGAAAGCTACTCAGTGAAGTAGCTGCACATTCAAATGCTGTGACATCTATATCTTTGTCCCGAGATGGCAATGTTATACTGACCAGTGGGAGAGACAATGTGCATAATTTGTTTGATATGCGGTCTCTGGAAGTCCGCCGTACATTAAGAGCCACTGGAAACAGAGTAGCGTCGAATTGGAGCCGGTCCTGTATCAGTCCAGATGACAATTACGTTGCTGCTGGATCTGCTGACGGTTCTGTGTATATTTGGTCAATATCGAAAGCTGACATTGTGAGCACTCTGAAGGAGCACACTGCATCTGTCCTGTGTTGTTCATGGAGCGGGCATGGAAAACCTCTAGCTTCTGCGGACAAGAACGGAATCATCTGTACTTGGACGTGACGGATCTGGCCGATTCCTTTTGTTCTTGTTTCCACAAGACACACGTATACATAATGTACACAAGTTCGATTAGATTTGGTGTAAATAATGATTCATCTCGAATTGTAGCGTGCCTGCATTCGTCTATATCTCTCATCCAAATATATTGACTAAATTTTATTCATTGCTTTGGCTATTGTTGATTCCTTGTATTTTCTTGTTGAAGCATATCAAAACTATCATATATTGTTATGTTGTTATAGAATATGGAGAAAATGTGGGTTAGCATGTTAACCATAACGCCACCTTGTTTGGGATGCTTTTTAAGAATGGTTAAAAACGCTTTCAGACTACATTACATCGTTTCACAAAAACTTTGAAAGTGACTGTGGATCGTAAAAAGTGCCTTCTAGAGAAGCACCTGCTTCAGGCTCTTCATGCATTGTAGGAAGCACTTTTGTTCACAAGTACTTGTACTAAAAGTGATTTATGAAGAAGCATTTAAAAGTGCTTCTCCAAAAATCAAGAAGTACTTTTCATGTTTTGGTAAAAATGGGCCAAATAGCATTTGTCAATCGGCCCAGCAAAGACACTTGGAGGGCTTTCTATCTACTCTTAAGTTGTATAAAGCATTTTGGCGTTCGGATTCGACCCGTTTACGATAAACGGAGAGTGGCGTTAGTGGGTCTGTCTATCTATCGATCGCTCACCTGAAACCTAAAACGGAGATTTGGAAGCAGAAAAGAAGGCGAAGACGATGGTGAAAGTGGCAACCTACTTCGCTATGACTTTGGGAGCTTTTGTGTTCTGGCAGTCCATGGATAAAGTCCACGTCTGGATCGCTCTGCATCAGGATGAAAAGGTTAAAATCTCTTCTTTCTCTTTGCCTGCAGAAGCAATTTCTCTTTCAGATTGGACTTAAAATTTGGGTGATTTGCAATTTTTTATTTAAGAATTCGATTGAATTTGAGCACTGCAAGCTCAGAATTTAGATGGGTTCTCATTGAATTGTTCAATTATGGCGGAAAATCCGATTTTTAGGAAATTGGCGTGAAACTTTGTGGTGAGGTTAGAGGGAATGCAATGTTTGGTTACAGGGAATTGGGGAACATAATTGAACTTGGAATTTCGCTGTATTTTTTGTTGCTATGCTATATTATTATGATAAAGTGACACCTCCTGTGTAGAATTCAACCTTTCGTATCGTGGGGTTTCTTATTTGGAGCTCTTTTTTCTGTGATAAATGCAATGTAGTCATTGTTATAGCCTTTTCGTAGCCGAGGGAAGCATAAATGCAATGTGGGATGCTGGGGATTGGGGAACGTAATTGAACTGGGAAATTTGCTATTATTGTTGTTATTATGCTATATTTTTGTGATAAAGTGGCACTCCTGTGTAGAATTCTACCTTTCATAAGTTATAGACATTTCGTATTGTGGGCTTTCTTATTTAGAGTTATTCTTTGCGTGACAAATGCAATGTCGTCAATGATATATTCGTTTTGTGTCCGAGGGAAGCTTAAATGCAATGCTTGGTTACTGAGAACTGGGGAACATAATTTGAACTTGGAATTTGACTCAGTCATTAAGTTATATTTCTGTGATCAGTAACACTCTGTGTAGAATTAAACCTTTCATAAGTTATAGTCGTTTCTTATCATAGATTTCTTATCTGGACCCCTCTTCCATGTTGAACAATTTGGTTGTGTTTTCGTAATACGTTGCCTATTATCATGACTAGTTGTGCTGCTTCTCTTTTGTTTCCCTCCATTAGATGCGGGTTCCATATTACGTTCCCATAATTTAAGTAGGAAGCACAAACTTGTTGAAACCAGGAAACTAGTATTTTAGTTCTGAACTACATGTTCAAAGGATAGCAGGGATGCTTGGACCAAAACCTAGATTTTTGAAATCTTGGTAGTAATAGTTGGCTGCTCATAACATGGGCGTAAATGTAAGCTTTTTTGTTGTGCTTACCTTTTAAATGTGCCTTTTTAGTTGACCTTCTCCGTGTATTAGCCGTTATGCTTTGGTATTGTTTCCGTTCAAAGTTTGGAATGATATTGATTGGGGTCTCGTTAACGTGGCAGCAAGAAAGACTCGAAAGGGAAATGGAGATTAAGAGAGTTAGAGAAGAGATGCTGCGGGAGCAGGCCAAATTAAGGGAGACTCAAGCATGAGCGACTCAGATTGATCTTCTTGTATGTTTGTATTCCGTTGTTTCCTCTGCTTCTGATTTTGTCTGAGCATTGCTCTCTTGAACACAATCACAATTCTAGAATAATTTAACTTGGCATTCACAGAATAGCTAAGTGCTGTCTTATGGCTTACTTTGTATAAAGCTTTCGAAAATTACATGTCGTGTTTTTCAATGTTTAGTGAAACTTTGAAATGACGATTATCATTTGTCGAGGCACGGTTAGGAATGCATTATCTGAATATTGTTAATATATTTCCTTATCTAGATGTATAAATCGTCATCTCATCTGCCGATTTGGTTAACATGCGAGCTGTATATCTCTAGACCTGAACTTATATTCACTTTTACACCAGTATCCGCGGCACATTTTCAACGGCATAAAGTCCTCGGGCCATCCCCGTCGTGAGGTCATGTCATCGGGATTTTGGGCAGTTAGATTTAAGATCAGTTGTCTCTCTGGTGTTAGTGTATAGATGGCATGAGGCATATGCCCAACAGCTTTTGGCTTCTGCGGCTAACAGCTTTTGGAATATTGTTCATCACAGAGATTTTTCTTTTCCCACTTAATCGACTTTTATTTTCATTTTCCTATTTCCTTACAAAAGGAACTAAAATTGAAGATCTACTTATCTTTTGCCACTTGAGCTTAACCGAGTTTGAGATTTTCGTTCGGAAGAGTACACAAATGTCGTGTTTACTTACAAGAAATGAAAATTGGAATTATTTGAATTTTTTAATTTTTCTGCGTTTACTAAAATATGGGTAAAATCTATTTAAATTCTTAATTTCCTGTCTACTAAACATAAAAAATAAAAATAAAGTGTGAGTTCTATCTTAAAGTATGTAATCACATACTTAAAAATGCAAAAGTTAGATCTACTAGGCGGTAAATTAATCTTATTCCGTATTTCCCTTCTCAATTCAAGATTATCCTCGTAAACATGTTAAAAATATAATTGTGCGTCACAACACACGATAAAAACTACTAAAATCTTGTTACATGTCACATCATTTGGTGATTAAAACTTGAGAAATTCTTAATCCATTTAACATTATTTAAGGTTGTTTCTAAAGAACTTTTGTGTCCAAAAAGGGAGGCATCCACACTTTTTCTTAATGTGAGAAGCCTCACTTTCTCCAAGCGTAGAAGTGACTAGTTACCAGTACACTACGCTAGTGTTTAGTCAAGTCCTACAAGGGATGTTTTACATCCTTTTGGTTGCTTCGGCATCAAGTAACATGTACGAGGCTATTCTTTGGGTTTTCATGACCTCCAACTCATTCTCGTATGTCGAAATTTTGAAAGGAAATTGTTTTTTACTGTTCAAAATAATCAGTGTATACTTCTCAAAGCGTTATTTCTTTCTTATGTTTCTTATGAGTAGGAATGCACAACGAGATGTTTCACTATTGCAATTGTTCTTCCCAAGGGGAAATTATAGTTATATAAGTTGTTTTGCCAATAAAGTAGAGACCAAATGCTGCCAAACCAAATGATCATTTGTTACTTTTTCGCCTTTATTAGAAGTACTCTACAACAAGGGATTATGTTGATCAAAACGCAAGGCTTGCCATCACCAATTGAAAAGGCATTAATTAACTATGTGACGACCAAAACTTAAGTCACTATGTTGACTATGATCAGTTAAAGATAAAAAGCAGTTACCATAGAAGCACTTTTCTTCCACTTGCCAACATCGTGTCTAAGACACTCCACCTACGTAACCATGCTCCTCTCTCTCTCTCTCTCTCTCTCTCTCCATCTCCATACATGGTGATGGTAAAACGTGTTGGGCATGTATTCAAACCCTAATATCCAAAAGCACACCAGCTTTTATTGCTAACTGCTAAAAAATACCTGCATTCTTGCTTCCTTTTCTAAAAGTTCCATGCCAAAATATGAACCCACACTCACTAATTCAATCCATTGCTTCCACAAACAAGCCAAATCCCATTTCCCACACAATCATCACATCCCATATTTTCTCTCGGTTATTTAAAGTTGTTCGTCTCCACAAGATACCCCATAACTTACTCTCTTTGTTATCCATTCTTTGATCCTCCATATAAGGCGGTGTCGAGGTCTTCGTATTCTCATCCTGTGTCGAAACTTGAACCCTAAGCCGGTAGAAAATGACTAAGTTTGTTTGGGTTGCGCTTGCTCTCTCGCTCGCTTTGGTTATGGGGGTTTCTGAGAGTTTCGACTACCACGAGAAGGACTTGGCCTCGGAGGAGAGCTTGTGGGGTTTGTACGAGAGGTGGAGGAGCCATCACACGGTTTCTAGGAGCCTCGACGAGAAGAACAAGCGGTTCAATGTGTTTAAGGAGAATGTCAAGCATGTTCACAACACTAACAAAGGTGATAAGCCTTACAAGCTGAAGCTTAACAAGTTTGCTGACATGACCAACCATGAGTTCAGGAGTGTTTACGCTGGTTCGAAGGTTAAGCACCATAGAATGTTCCAAGGGCAGCGTGCTGATACAGGCTTTCGGTATGGAAATGTTGGGAGTGTCCCGCCATCTGTTGATTGGAGAAAGAATGGAGCTGTCACTCCCGTTAAGGATCAAGGCCATTGTGGTAAGCAAAATTTGCTAAATCATTCCTCGTTTTGTTTTATTTTCTTTCTACAAAATGCTATCTGTATCGATTGTTTCAACTATATTCCCTTGTTTCGATGAAATTATACAGGTAGTTGCTGGGCATTTTCAACTGTTGTAGCTGTTGAGGGCGTCAATCAAATTAAGACAAAAAATCTGGTTTCGTTGTCTGAACAAGAGTTGGTCGATTGTGACACGGAACAAAACCATGGATGCAATGGAGGTCTAATGGAACTGGCAATGGAGTTCATCAAACAAAAGGGAGGCCTGACAGCCGAAACTAATTACCCTTACCGAGCAGCAGATTCAACGTGTAATGTTGCAAAGGTAATTAATTTTGTTCCCGTACATTTCAGGGATATATCTTCAATCCCTTTTCGACACCCCTTCGCTTATGAATGTGAGATTATAAGGTTATAACCGATACTTGTTTTCCAGGAAAACGCTCCGGCGGTGTCCATTGATGGCCATGAGAGTGTGCCTGCTAATGACGAGGATGCATTGCTCAAAGCAGCTGCAAACCAACCTATTTCTGTCGCCATTGATGCTGGAGGTTCCGATTTCCAATTCTACCATGAGGTAAAGCTTCTAATATCTATTCGCCTTAGCTAATATCTACTGGAGAAAAATGAAAAGGTCGAGGGATCGTATCTTAATCTGCTGGACCATGATTCACAGGGGGTATTTGATGGAAAATGCGGCACAGAGCTTGATCACGGAGTAGCAGTTGTTGGCTACGGAACAACACTTGACGGAACCAAGTATTGGATAGTAAAGAACTCATGGGGAACCGAGTGGGGAGAGGAGGGTTACATAAGGATGCAGCGCGGCGTCTCTGCTAAGGAAGGGATATGTGGAATAGCAATGGAGGCTTCGTATCCCGTCAAGAACTCATCGACAAACCCTCAAGCAGCACCTACCTCAAACCCTAAGGATGAACTCTAAACAAAATCCAACAGTTTGACTAGCTTTCGCTGATGCTGCTTCGGTTATAAAAAGTTGCATCACTCAAGGCCTCGTGGCCAAATAATATTTGTCTCCTAGGTTTGAATTATTCATGTATTATCTAAAGATCTGTAAATTTCCTCAATTCACTAGTAGTAATATTATCAAAGCACGTAGGAAAATTAAACCCGAAAACTCGTACAAAAGAAGCTTCGACATATAAAAACATGACGCCAAATGTGCATAAACGATATGGGTACATAAGTGCCAAATGATACTATTAGATGCGACAGTGTTTCATGCGTACATTTTCAGTTCCACTCTAAACCTCATTTATTTAAGATACGGTAGATATTATCACACCATATGTTATCGTTGGTGACTACGATTTAGGAATATTTTTTATCATATGGCATCAAATGCATGCATAACTTATCAACCATAGCATCTGATAGGATCAGTGCAACCCTTCTCGGCAGATTGTTTGTTGCCTTTACCTCCTCCTTTTTCGAGATATTGCTGATGGTATTCCTCCGCCCTGTAAAATTTCTTTGCCGGGAGGATCTCCGTCACCACCTTCTTATCCTTCAACTCCGCCTGCTTAGCTTCCTTCGATTCCTCGGCCAGCCGAGCCTGGTTTTCGTTGTAGTAGTAGATTCCGGATCGGTATTGTGTGCCAACATCTCCTCCCTGATGCATAACACAAATTTATTTGATAAATATATGACAATCAAGAACTAGTTAACCCAAAAAGGAAACATATATAGGAGTATGCCATATTTGTCAAGGTAGTACAACTTGAGAATAGACAATGCTTGGCTACTCAAGGATAAATACGAACTTCGACTCAAAACTCTTCGTGTTCAAATCACAGAGTTTTGTGCTTATGATTTTCATGTTATTAATCACACTCTAAATATCATATTTGAAAGAAAAAAAGACTAAATAACTTTAGAACAGTTCTAGTAAAAAATACAAAATTCTATAAATCGGCAAGGAATAATTTTGAGCAGATTTGAATTATTTCTCGAGAACAACTTGAGCCCATCTCAATCACATGTCACATCAAGTTTCACTTGCCTGCTTAATTGTTAATTCATCCATTCTGTTTCAATTCACAAGCAAGTCAGCAACCATCCATTGATTCAATGCTCCCATGTTATTACCATAATCACCCTTGTACTAGTTATTGCTCCATCACATAATTTTTGAGAAATGCACACAAATAATATCTGTTACAAATTTTTAATTAAAAATAAAATTTGGATACTAGACAAGCGATAACATGTGTATAAGTCGCAGTATAGTACTCTTTCTTTTTACAAGTGATGTTAAGGGATCTGAAATCAAACGCAAAATCTACATAATAACGGTAAAATGTTATTTACCAATTGAGTTACGACCTCCATATTAAATACTCTTGTGTCTTTTATTTAATGTCCTTTCAGTTTTATTTTCCCCTAAAAACACAAATTTAGCTGAAATATATCAATCATTAAGGGCTCATTTAGAAGTGTTTTTAAAATTATTAAAACCACTTTTGGTGAAAAGGTTTTTAGGATCCAAAATCACTTGAAGTATTTCTGCAACAAGCATCAATTATATGCCTTTTGTAAGAAGTGCTTCAGCCGCTTTTTTCATAATTTATTTGTATTTTTACTAAGTATTGATTTCAAAAACACGTTTA